AAACTGACTAGTATAGACAAGGAAATGAGGTGTTGATTTCCAAAGGTTTTTCAGTCGCTTGTCCTTCTAACATGTATACTTGAAATATGTACGGTTAGCAGGTTTTGTTGAAGGATCAAAAATATTTTTGTTCATGCCTGCTTTTAGATCAGAGAATACTTGTAAATTAATTTACAAAAATGAAAAGCTGCTAACGATAGTATATTTTTGAAAAGACACGGGAGATGGAAAACAGAGAAAAGTAAGGATAGTTATATTTTGGACTCTATTGAAAAGAGCCTAACAGTGTCACAAACGCTGGGACTGTAACGTCTTCTTTATCCCCCGTTTTTTATGTTTTTTCTATCGAGCATTAAGTATAGCGGGAAAATATTGTATTGTCGGGTACAGGTCGTATGAATATAGGATCACTTATAGTGACCAATGGGTGTACTTTCTGGTAATAAAGCATAATTAGGGTCACTTTCTAGCTGTCATGTAACGAAAGAACACTCAACTTACATTTTGGATGTATATTCGATGATATTTCACACATCTCGTAGGTGTATGTCCGAGCACCTGACACTGGAGACGAGATTGCGCACTTTGACACAGGTTTCTAGAGCTTGTTGGTCGATTATATCGTTTTTTTATCTCTAGTTGTTTCTGGCCGGTCCTGACCGTCTATAAAGGGACGTATTTAGTCAAAAAGGTTTTGGTTTGCTTGTATTGAGGATAACATATACATAGGAATTGTATGGTTTTGAATTATATATGTATTGCAATAATAATATTTGTAAATATTTATATAACACAATCTGGCGTCCATTTAGCATGACGGGTTGTCGGCAAACTTAAGACTATACTTGCATTGTTTATATTTAGCACGATTATATATATGTACTTTAATACATCAAATGTATCTTGATAAAGCTCATGTGTCTTATGGCAAAATCGCAAATGTCCTTTTTTTAAGCGCTTAAAATTATGTTTTAAAAAATAAAGCCAAAATGTCCATTTTAAAAAAGCGCAATTGTCTTGTCAAAAAGCGCAAACGTCCCGCGCCGACAATGGTTTGATTCATTCGAGTTATGTGTTTAAATAATAAAATAAATAGAAGTTTATAGGATAGGACAAACATTAGTAATAACCTTAAATTGCACAAGTTTTAAAGACAATAAACATATATGGGTTTTATAAAATAAAGATTAAAACATAATAAGGGAACTGGCGTTTTATCAAAATAACACTTTTAAAAGTTATAAACCCTAACTTTATAATAATGAATCTCCATCTAACAAACACGAAATAGAGAAACACTGTAAATTGTTACACAAATAGAAGAGATCTACAAATACATCAACAGGAAAAAAATCTTCGGCAGAATCTGAAGTAGATAAAGACAAACTATTTATAATAGAAATAAAGTGAAATCAGATCAACATATAGGTAAACGTGGCTGAATTTATCATACGACTCCACATAGAAGATTTTGTCCTTGAACATGTTGAATGATGATTTATTTATGTGTTATTTGCGGACATTATAGTATATTGTGCTGCAAATACTAAATATTATCAACAAAATGAGATCTACAAATAAGTCAACATGATCACAATCGTCAGTTGATATAGATAACTATAATCAGCAAAAAGTTATCAACAAAATAAAATGGTATGAGGAAGAAAGATAAAATTCCCAAAGGCGGTAACACTTTGAAAATTCTATCAACAAAATCCAATTTCATATTTAAGTTTACACAATGCTTAATATATCAGTAACACATTCCCATTGTTCAGTTTTCATACCGACTTACACAATGTTTAACTAGTGATTATATGATTAGACACAAACTGTACTTTGAATAATTGTACCAGTAAGTAATATTTCTTCTTAAGATACTATATCTGCAGATTGATAGATCATGTATATTAGCGTCAACTCGAATTGATTTATAAAACAAGAGGGAAATCGGGACTAGGCTTTTTTTTTGGTTAGAAAATCATCTCAATTTAAAAACAAAACAAAAAAAAAACGACCAGTCATGGCCAGAAAACCAAAAACGTTCAAGACAAATTATAAAAGTTATACTAACACAGCAACAACCTACTCTATCTCCGAGTTGTTGTAAACAATGTGGGGAAAAAATCGGTTATATTGAATAGCTGGTATACCAGCACTTTCTCCAACGAAAGGCTGTCAAACAAAGAAACTTATGTTCAATTCTAACTCAACCAGGCAAAGTTGACAAAGTCGACCTTAGGTAAGTTTGGCTTTTCTCTGTAGGTCCTTTTTAGTGATGTATCTCTGCAAGTATTGAAGCATTTATATATATCATATATCCTTGGTTTTCAATGTTTCAGTTATGAGCGTTCCTAATAAAGGTAAATGCAGAAAAGCGCGTCGGACGCACAAAACTTAAGTGTTCTATACATTTGTTATCTATTAGTCTATTGTAAAATTGTTGAAATGTTTTTTTTTTTTTATTCTTCTAAATGAAAATTCGTGATATTTAGTATTGCAGAGGCAGGAACTTGTTACTCGTCTTATGCATGCAGCCATGTAAGGTATTATGAATCAAGATACTATACCTCGTGCGGATTACTGAATTGGGATAGATGTACACGCCACAGGTATGAAAATTGTTCGAAAGTTTACTTTTATAATTAAAAATCTGGACCTATTCAATGTAGTGCTTAATTCAAATTTTGAAAATGTCAATGTGGTAACCATAAAACGCAAATAAAACAAATAATAGATTGTAGATTTACGTCCATGCGCAAATATCATAGCATACTTGGGGCCATGGAGAAAAAGGTTTGCTATGTAACTGTTACATTAATATCACATGTTGAGAAATTATAGATAAAGAATACTTTTGTTATCAGACATTTGGAGTTGCAATTAAAGCTTGTTAGAGGCTTGACCGCAAGTATTTATGTATCCGGCATCTGTTTACTTTAACCAGGTGCAATATGAGTATGTCAGCATGTAATCTTGCACATGTTGTCATGTAGTTCAGTTATGATATTTGACTAAAATAGTGAACATCAATAAAATGTAGTCTCTTTACAAAGTCTGGTATATTTAGGTTCCCTATGGAACCACAGTTGTCCCCAAGTAACAACCCAAATGTGCCACGCAATAGTAACAGTGAATTGGATGTTGGTGAGCTCATAAGGTAACGGTCCGCAATGAAAAAACATTTTGTTTAGATGTATATTGACATGTATATTGACATGTATGTTGACCTCTTGATATGTTTTGGGTGTTTTCTTTCTCCTTGTTGGGTTGTTGTCTCACTGATGTATACTCCATATCTTCTTTTATTTCATGTGTCAACCTATTCGGACACATTGTTCTGACTCGGAGTCTTCGCTAAATATATTTCAAATACATAATACTGGTTCACTCAAGACCAGACTCAAGCTAGCGACCAATTCTAGCGACCAATCAAGCTAGCGACCAATTCTAGCGACCACTAAAGAACACAATGAGAATCAACTTGTCTAAGAATCATTATGTGGTATATGAGAAAACCACAAAATCACATTATGAAACAACGTTCTGTTAAAAAGAAAATCTATCTACCAGTGCGGTATACATAACGTTTAAATGGCCAGAAATGTCCATCAAATTAAGGGAGAAGGGACACTACAATACGAATGACGTCTGTAGCTGAATGCACTAACTAGTTTGGTTGCTAAATGTCTGCATCAATATCAATGAGTAAAATATAACGTGCCAGAAAATCGTAAAAGCCAAAACAATTTAATACAATAGAAAAACAAAGGATATGGGGTATCCCTCCATGACATAAAATCAGTAAATGCACAGCGAAAAACACACAAAAAGCTAAGGAACATTCTTTGTTAACGAACTATTTTTATTCCCCTACATTCGAACAAATACTATATGTTATCATATATGTATTTATATAAATAAAGGTGCGCCCCTCTCCGGAGTTTATTCTATCGGGAAAGGGACTAGTTGGGAAATAAAGTAATCAATATTTTGACGTCTTCTTTACGTTTTCTCTGTTTTCCAAACTCTAAACCGAGATCGCAAAGATAAATCAATTATTGTAAACAAAATATTAAAAACGGAGCGTATATCCGTCAAGCACATAATGGCTATACAATAGTACTTTGCGGTTTAGAAATCAGAATAAAAAGCCAAAGAGTTTTAAGAATTTTAATAATAAAAAAAAACAAGAGTGTTTGTTTATGATGATTTGCTCGCACAATCGTTTTCAATTTTCAGTGAACCGTAAATAATTTAAAAAGTACATAAAATTATTTTAATGAATATGTGTACCTAGTTTCAAGTTGATCTGACTACAACGTCATCTTAGACTAGATTCAACACTAAAGTCATTCTAATGCAGTATGAATGGACGGACAAACGGACAAATGAATTAACGAACGAACACAAAAACCAGATAATATTATGGGCTTTACTGTCGTAGGCGGAGCATAGAATAACTATCTAATGTGAGTTCACTTAAACTTGTTCCTTTGTACAATGTATCAGCTTTCAAATAAACGAAATAAGAAAAATATTATGTGCGAAAGAATAACTATATACTGGCTTTCCATACACTCGGCATCCTCAAATATCCTTTATTTTCTAGAAAAGGAACTTTTAATGTCTATTCCCTATACTGAAAATGAAAACATACAAAATAACAAACTGTAAGAGTACATTTCATGCCCACAAACAATATTTTGAATTGAAAGTATACGTGCACTATTTTGTACGGCATGCATCCTTACTTAAAAGAAATGTAAAGATTTTTTTGTTTAAAAAAAAACCGTACACTTTGAATGTCAATTTTGAACCCCTTCAATTCCGCACAAGGATAATAGTTACGCTGAACGGTGCCCACTGGTCACCTGAACAGAAACGGTTAAAATTGAGTCTATACGCGACAAAAAATAGTACATGATTTCCGGTTTAAAGTGAAAGTACGTTACTAAGGGGATACTCAGTGCAGCATACTCAGTTTATAGTTGCTGTTATACAATACGGATATGAGCTTAATGCAAAGTTCTGGAATCACCATATTTCAAAGGATACTGTTGAGAGAGGTACAAAAAGTAAAAAATAATACACAAATAATCAATAATCATAATGATTCACTCAAAACAAACAATTGAAAATGCATAGAAGATTCATCTGTAACTCTATTAACGAGTGATATGGCTTATTTTTCAGAAAAAAAAATAACCTAATGGCCTATATTGCACTCTCATGAAATATAACTAAAAAGATGGTATGCCTCGAACTCGGGTACCTTTAAACTGTCATTGGTTACCTCTGGTCACCCTATACAGAAAATAATAGTGCATACAGTTACACTGGTCATTTGATACAAAATGCATAGTAACTTTATGAACCTTACTTCCTTTGCAGATAAATTTACAGTGGTTCTTCTAATTAATTGACACAGATATAGATATTGAATGGCCCTTAAACAGATATTGAATTTCTATACATCTTGTCACCTTTTACATAATTAATTGTTGTGACCTCTGGTCACCCAACACATGTATTGAATTGCAATAAACATTATAAGATATTGAATTTGGTTACCTCTTGTCAACCCGGCAAGCCTTCGAGATATTGAATTTTGTTGCACCTTGTCACCTTTTACATAATTAATTGTGGTGACCTCTGGTCACCCTACACATATATTCTATTTTTTATCTTTAAACACTGTGCATAACTATTGAATTTATTTAACTTTAATAACCCTACTTAGATGTTTAATTTGGTAATATATGGACACCCTACCAAGATGTTGTATATGGTTAACCCTAATCACTCTACAATGATGTTGAATATGGTTACCTCTGGGCACCCTACAAAGATATTGAAGATGGTGACCTCTGGTCACCCTACCAAAATTTTGAATATGGTTCTTTCTGGTCACCCTACACATATATTGAATAAGGTTACCTCTAGTCATCTTACAAAGATATTGCATATGGTTACCTCTGGTCACCCTTCACATATACTGAATATGGAAACCTCTGGTCACCCAACACAGATGTTTGAATTAGTTATAAACTTGCCATCCTACACAGATAATGATCACGGTTATATCTGGACATCTTTCAAATACTTTTAATTGAGTTATGTTCGGTTTCAAAACCTATATACTGGCTTTAACTACCTCTTGTTACCATAAATATGTCTTGATTTTGGTAATCTCTGGTCACCCTACTAAGACAAATACAATCAAAACCAAGGAGTAAACAGATATACCAAAAGAAATTTACAACAACATTAAAAAAGTAAGGAACAACAAGAATCTTCTTAATCATGTCTTGAACGCTCCCATCGTGTGAGTTCTTTCTTAAGTCCGGTAATAATGAAAATGTACTGATGACTGTGCAAGAGTTTTAATATGATTAATCATACATAAATTACTAAAATATTGAATTTGGTGACCTCTGGTCACCCTATACATATATGAACTTTAAATACCTCAAGTTACCCTACACAAATACTGAATTGGGTTACCTCTGGTCACCCTTCACATATTTTGAATGTGGTTACCTCTTATCTTACACAGATAGAAAACTTGATTACCTCTAGTCACCGTGCATAAATATTTAATTTGGTTACCTATAGTTAGCCTACTTAAATATTTAATTTTGTAAACTTCGGTCATAAATTGAACGTGGTAACCTCTGATCAACGTACACAAATATTGAAAAAGGTAACCTCTGGTAAACAATTACAGATATTGAAAATGGTTACCTCTGGTCAACCTACAATAAATTGGCTTATATTACCTATGGTTACAATTCATAAATAATGAATTTGGTAAGCATCGGTTATCCCGGTTCACACTTTTGCGCTACTTTTATAATTAATATAGCAACTTCTGGTCGCTGTACACATACATTGAATTATATTGCCATTGTCAACACACACATATATATATAGCAATTGCCTTTTTTGAATGTGGTAACCTCGGGTCGCCATACACAGATATAAAGTTATTTATCTTTAGACACCATACTTAAATATTGAATGTAGATACCTTTATTAAACCTACTAGTAAGCTGTTTATTTTGGTAATCTCTGGTCACACTGCCAAGATGATGAATGTGGTTACCTCTGGTCACCCTCCAAAGATATTGAATATGGTTACCTCTGGTCACCCAACCAAAAGTTTGAATATGGTTACCTCTGGTCACCCTACACATATATTGAATAAGGTTACTTCTGTTCACCCAACCAAAACTTTAAATATGGTTACCTCTGGTCACCCTACTAAGATATTGAATAGGGTGACCTCTGGTCACCCAACCAAAATTTTAATATGGTTACCTCTGGTCACCCTACACAGATATTGAATAAGGTTACCTCTGGTCACCCAACCAAAACTTTGAATATGGTTACCTCTGGTCACCCTACACATATATTGAATAAGGTTACTTCTGGTCACCCAACCAGAACTTTAAATATGGTTACCTCTGGTCACCCTACACAGATATTGAATAAGGTTACCTCTGGTCACTTTACAAAGATATTGCATATGGTTATCTTTGGTCACCTAAAAAGATATTATATGTGGTAACCTCTGGTCTCCCTACACATATATTGACTATGGTTACCTCTGGTCACCCTACACATATTTTGAACATGGTAACCTCTGGTCACCTTACCAAAACTTTGAATATGGTTACCTCTGGTCACCTAACAAAGATATTGGATATGGTTTTTTTTGTCATCTAAAAAGATATTGAATGTGGTTACTTCTGGTCACCCTACAAAATATTGAGTATGGTTAGCTCTTGTTACTCTTCACAGATATTGAACATGGTAACCTCTGGTCAACCTACAATAAATTGGCTTATGTTACCTATGGTTACAATTCATAAATAATGTATTTGGTTAGCATCTGTTATCCCGGTTCACACTTTTGCGCTTCTTTTATAATTAATATAGCAACTTCTGGTCGCTGTACACATACATTGAATTATGTTGCCATTGTCAACACACACATATATATTTAGCAATTGCCTTTTTTGAATGTGGTAACCTCGGGTCGCCATACACAGATATAAAGTTATTTATCTTTAGACACCATACATAAATATTGAATGTAGATACCTTTATTAAACCTACTAGTAAGCTGTTTATTTTGGTAATCTCTGGCCACACTGCCAAGATGATGAATGTGGTTACCTCTGGTCACCCTCCAAAGATATTGAATATGGTTACCTCTGGTCACCCTACAAAGATATTGAATAGGGTTACCTCTGGTCACCCAACCAAAACTTTGAATATGGTTACCTCTGGTCACCCTACACAGATATTGAATAAGGTTACCTCTGGTCACCCAACCAAAACTTTGAATATGGTTACCTCTGGTCACCCTACACATATATTGAATAAGGTTACTTCTGGTCACCCAACCAAAACTTTAAATATGGTTACCTCTGGTCACCCTCCAAAGATATTGAATATGGTTACCTCTGGTCACCCTACAAAGATATTGAATAGGGTGACCTCTGGTCACCCAACCAAAACTTTGAATATGGTTACCTCTGCTCACTTTACAAAGATATTGCACATGGTTATCTTTGGTCACCTAAAAAGATATTATATGTGGTAACCTCTGGTCTCCTTACACATATATTGACTATGGTTACCTCTGGTCACCCTACACATGTTTTGAACATGGTAACCTCTGGTCACCTTACCAAAACTTTGAATATGGTTACCTCTGGTCACCTAACAAAGATATTGGATATGGTTTTTTTTGTCATCTAAAAAGATATTGATTGTGGTTCCTTCTGGTCACCCTACAAAATATTGAGTATGGTTAGCTCTTGTTACTCTACACAGATATTGAAAATGGTAACCTCTGGTCAACCTACAATAAATTGGCTTATGTTACCTATGGTTACAATTCATAAATAATGTATTTGGTTAGCATCTGTTATCCCGGTTCACACTTTTGCGCTACTTTTATAATTAATATAGCAACTTCTGGTCGCTGTACACATACATTGAATTATGTTGCCATTGTCAACACACACATATATATATAGCAATTGCCTTTTTTGAATGTGGTAACCTCTGGTCACCCTACACATATATTGAATAAGGTTACCTCTGGTCACCCAACCAAAACTTTAAATATGGTTACCTCTGGTCACACTGCCAAAATGATGAATGTGGTTACCTCTGGTCACCCTCAAAAGATATTGAATATGGTTACCTCTGGTCACCCTACACAGATATTGAATAAGGTTACCTCTGGTCCCCCAACCAAAACTTTGAATATAGTTACCTCTGGTCACACTGCCAAGATGATGAATGTGGTTACCCCTGGTCACCCTCCAAAGATATTGAATATGGTAACCTCTGGTCACCCTACACAGATATTGAATAAGGTTACCTCTGGTCACCCAACCAAAACTTTGAATATGGTTACCTCTGGTCACCCTACACATATATTGAATAAGGTTACCTTTGGTCACCCAACCAAAACTTTGAATATGGTTACCTCTGGTCACCCTACACAGATATTGAATAAGGTTAACTCTGGTCATTTTACAAAGATATTGCATATGGTTATCTTTGGTCACCTAAAAAGATATTATATGTGGTAACCTCTGGTCTCCCTACACATATATTGACTATGGTTACCTCTGGTCACCCTACACATATTTTGAACATGGTAACCTCTGGTCACCTTACCAAAACTTTGAATATGGTTACCTCTGGTCACCTAACAAAGATATTGGATATGGTTTTTTTTGTCATCTAAAAAGATATTGATTGTGGTTACTTCTGGTCACCCTACAAATATATTGAGTATGGTTAGCTCTTGTTACTCTACACAGATATTGAAAATGGTAACCTCTGGTCAACCTACAATAAATTGGCTTATGTTACCTATGGTTACAATTCATAAATAATGTATTTGGTTAGCATCGGTTATCCCGGTTCACACTTTTTACGCTACTTTTATTATTAATATAGCAACTTCTGGTCGATGTACACATATATTAAATTATGTTGCCATTGTCAACAAAAATATATAGCAATTGCCTTTTCTGAATGTGGTAACCTCGGGTCACCATACACATATATAAAATTATTTATCTTTAGACACCATGCATAAATATTGAATGTAGGTACTTTTATTAAACCTACTAAGATGTTTATTTTGATAATCTCTGGTCACACTACTAAGATGTTGAATGTGGTTACCTCTGGTCACCCTCCAAAAATATTGAATATGGTTACCTCTGGTCACCCTACAAAGATATTGAATATAGTAACCTCTGGTCAACCAACCAAAATTTTGAATATGGTTACCTCTGGTCACCCTACTAAAATTTTGAATATGGTACCCTCTGGTCACCTTACAAAGATATTGCATATGGTTATCTTTGGTCATCTAAAAAGAGTTTGAATGTGGTTACCTCTGGTCACCCTACACATATATTAAGTATGGTTACCTCTGGTCACTCTACGCATAATTTGAACATGGTCACCTCTGGTCACCCACACAGATATTGGCTATGGTTACCTTTGGTCAATCTACAAAAATTTGGCTTATGTTACCTATGGTTACAATTCATAAATAATGAATTTGGTTAGCAATGGTTATCTCGGTGCACACTTTTTGCGCTACTTTTATAATTAATATAGCCACTTCTGGTCGATGTACACATATATTAAATTATGTAGCCGTTGTCAACAAATATATATAGCAATTGGTTTTTTTTAATGTGGTTACCTCGGGTCACCATACACAGATATACATTTATTTATCTTTAGACACCATGCATAAATATTGAATTTAGGTACCTTTATTAACCCTACTTAGATGTTTAATTTGGTAATCTCTGGTCACACTACAAAGATGTTAAATGTGATTACCTCTGGTCACCGTACAAAAATATTGAATATGGTTACTTCTGGTCAACTTACAAAGATATTAAATAGGGTGACCTCTGGTCACCCTACCAAAATTGTGAATATGGTTACCTCTGGTCACCCTACACAGATATTGAATAAGGTTACCTCTGGACACCTTACACAGATATTGACTAAGGCAACCTCAGGTCACCTTACAAAGATATTGCATATGGTTACCTCTGGTCACCCACACAGATATTGGCTATGGTTACCTCTGGTCATCCTACACAGATATTGAAAATGGTTACTTTTGGTCACCCTACAATAAATTGGCTTATGTTAACTATGGTGACAGTTCATAAGATGAATATCGTTGGTCAATTTAAAAGATATTGAAAATGGTTAACTCAGGTCATTCTACACAGATATTAAATATGTTTACCTCTGGCCCCCCTACACAGATTTCGAATTGGGTAACCCTTTCATATTATTGAATGAGATTACCTCCGGTCATCGTATACATATATTTACTTAAATTACCTCTGGTCACCCTTTACAGATTTGGAATGTGGTTACCTTTGGTCACCATACACAGGTATTAACTTTAGGTTCTGGTCACAATTCATAATTAATGAATCTTTATTGGCATCGATTATCTCGTTTCACACTATCCAGATGTTAAATTTGGTTAACACTTCCCGCAACATTTATATTGAATATGAATATTGCTCATCATAAACAGATAATGATTATGGATATCTCTGGATACCCATCCTATAATTTATTTACTTTTGGTAATCTGACGCAAATAATGTCTTAGGCAACCTCTTATTACCCTGAACTGCAATTCATTTTGGTTAAATCTGTTCATCCTATATATAATTATATGACTTTTAAGGGGTCTCATGGTTTCTCCGGTTATATACAATTAATAAAAAAAAGATTTTGTTGACATTTTAAAAATAAATATGATATATTTCACATTCTCATTACAGGGTTTTTTGTTCGTGAATTAAATAGAGGAAATATGACAGGTGTAACAGGCGATTTTGAAGGTAATGGTTACAGTTTCAAACATAATTATTTCATTAATCATAGTAGAGGTCATATTAAGACCAATATTCAATTCCTAAAATCAGAATTCGAAACGTAGGGTTGATAGTACAAATCAAATACTTCAAAAACTAGAAAAACTGCACAAATTCCAAAATTATAGTTAAGGAATGTCAAATTATGATACATTATCGCGGTGTATATTTGAAACATCGTTATTTATTCCGCCATTTCCATATCTTACAGGTTTGGAAAACTTTAATTTGGAAGACCTCCATGAATTGCGACATGAAGAAAAGGAAGAAGTTAAAAAACAGATTGAAGCCATATATATTGAGGCAACCTCTTTGGAGAAAAAAGCCAGAGAATTGGGTATGAATTGTGTTTTCTCATTTATGCCCAAACCGCCACAAATGTCGTGATATTTTTCATACAGTATTGTATAGATTACGCTGTTTAGATCATACAATTGAGGAATAATTCATTTAGGCTTGAATTTATACTGATTTTACCACAGATTGACCTTTTATGCTAAATATTTTACAACGACCGATGGCATGGATAATATGCTCTTCATTTTTTAAAACTTTATTCAGCTACGATCAATTATCCTTGGCCAATTTGTAATGGCTCAGCGACTGCGTATATATTGTTTTTAAAAGTGTTTCAAAATTAGTATCTTATTCCAACAAATCGAAAATTGTTACTGTTTTTGTTTTTTTGTGTACATATGCAAATTGAAAAAATATGATTTATTCTAGGAAATTACACGCACAAATATTATATTTCCCTACCATTTTAGCATGTGATACAAATTCAAAACAGTATATTCTTCGCCACGCACAAACCTTAACAGAAAAAGCAAATGAGATGAAAGAAAAGATATGCTTAGCATCAGGTGATTTATTTCTTTATCTGTATTATATTATAGATATACATTTATAACACAGTAGTGTTATCTTTATGTTAATACTGTAGACTTTTGTAGTTGAATATATCTGTTGGCACGCAAATTGGAAACTGAAAAACAGAAAATTCAAAAGGCACTTAATCAAATCCACTTGTCATAACCAAATTGACAAAGCCACGACAATAAACACAAAATCGGGAACAAGACAAACATCATTCCACGGAATTGGTTTGCGGTTTATTCCTTACTTTATCATTTGTTTATTATCTCAAAACTAGTGTACATAACACACTTTGGCAGTTCACTTAATACTGATCAGTGTTTTATTTCTATTTTCTTATGATGCCCTTTATTAGTAAAAAGAAAGGATTCATATCAAATTTTTACCTCCCCACACACACATACCAGCACACCCACATACACACCAACACACCAACACACATACACACACCAACACACCAACACACATACACACCTACACACACATTTTCTAAAACAAAAAAATATGAATATTGCTCATCATAAACAGATAATGATTATGGATATCTCTGGATACCCATCCTATAATTTATTTACTTTTGGTAATCTGACGCAAATAATGTCTTAGGCAACCTCTTATTACCCTGAACTGCAATTCATTTTGGTTAAATCTGTTCATCCTATATATAATTATATGACTTTTAAGGGGTCTCATGGTTTCTCCGGTTATATACAATTAATAAAAAAAAGATTTTGTTGACATTTTAAAAATAAATATGATATATTTCACATTCTCATTACAGGGTTTTTTGTTCGTGAATTAAATAGAGGAAATATGACAGGTGTAACAGGCGATTTTGAAGGTAATGGTTACAGTTTCAAACATAATTATTTCATTAATCATAGTAGAGGTCATATTAAGACCAATATTCAATTCCTAAAATCAGAATTCGAAACGTAGGGTTGATAGTACAAATCAAATACTTCAAAAACTAGAAAAACTGCACAAATTCCAAAATTATAGTTACGGAATGTCAAATTATGATACATTATCGCGGTGTATATTTGAAACATCGTTATTTATTCCGCCATTTCCATATCTTACAGGTTTGGAAAACTTTAATTTGGAAGACCTCCATGAATTGCGACATGAAGAAAAGGAAGAAGTTAAAAAACAGATTGAAGCCATATATATTGAGGCAACCTCTTTGGAGAAAAAAGCCAGATAATTGGGTATGAATTGTGTTTTCTCATTTATGCCCAAACCGCCACAAATGTCGTGATATTTTTCATACAGTATTGTATAGATTACGCTGTTTAGATCATACAATTGAGAAATAATTCATTTAGGCTTGAATTTATACTGATTTTACCACAGATTGACCTTTTATGCTAAATATTTTACAACGACCGATGGCATGGATAATATGCTCTTCATTTTTTAAAACTTTATTCAGCTACGATCAATTATCCTTGGCCAATTTGTAATGGCTCAGCGACTGCGTATATATTGTTTTTAAAAGTGTTTCAAAATTAGTATCTTATTCCAACAAATCGAAAATTGTTACTGTTTTTGTTTTTTTGTGTACATATGCAAATTGAAAAAATATGATTTATTCTAGGAAATTACACGCACAAATATTATATTTCCCTACCATTTTAGCATGTGATACAAATTCAAAACAGTATATTCTTCGCCACGCACAAACCTTAACAGAAAAAGCAAATGAGATGAAAGAAAAGATATGCTTAGCATCAGGTGATTTATTTCTTTATCTGTATTATATTATAGATATACATTTATAACACAGTAGTGTTATCTTTATGTTAATACTGTAGACTTTTGTAGTTGAATATATCTGTTGGCACGCAAATTGGAAACTGAAAAACAGAAAATTCAAAAGGCACTTAATCAAATCCACTTGTCATAACCAAATTGACAAAGCCACGACAATAAACACAAAATCGGGAACAAGACAAACATCATTCCACGGAATTGGTTTGCGGTTTATTCCTTACTTTATCATTTGTTTATTATCTCAAAACTAGTGTACATAACACACTTTGGCAGTTCACTTAATACTGATCAGTGTTTTATTTCAATTTTCTTATGATGGCCTTTATTAGTAAAAAGAAAGGATTCATATCAAATTTTTACCTCCCCACACACACATACCAGCACACCCACATACACACCAACACACCAACACACATACACACACCAACACACCAACACACATACACACCTACACACACATTTTCTAAAACAAAATGTCGATACCAATTACATGCATCTGGTTGCTGCCATCATTCAAATTTTAGAATGTTTTTGGTTCTGTATCTTCATTTGATTTGTTTAATTCAAAACAAAATAATTTACACAAAGCCAGTCAACCACCAGCATAATATCATTGCTTTCAATAATCATGAATAACAAAGTCAAATATTGTTTTTGAATAAATTTATGAATAGCCAAAAATGTCAGACTTTTGTGATACAAATATTTCAGAGCAGAAGGTCTGAAAAAGTTAATTTATAATTCTAAAGAGGTGAATGTCAACAACCTCACAAAGAAATGAAAGAATCATAATTCATATTTTATTGTAAAATTCAGAGTTTACCCAGAATCATATCACTCTTAACAAATCTGTCAAATGATCCCTGAATAAACAAGTAATATTTTCAATGATACGTTTTTATTACAATTGAAAACACATAAGTATGTATAAACAATGTCATTTAGCTGTAAATTTGAAGTGAAGAAATTTTAACCTTATATTCTAATATTAAGGGAAATCATTCCAAACACCTGATGAACTACAAATTGCTATAAAGCAATCCATAGCTTCAAACGAGGAACAAACATTAATAGTTGAGAGACTTAAGAGGAACTGTTCATCCCATGGCTTAGAATACAGAGGTCAAACACCAGGGAATGGGAATTGTTTTTTTGAAGCAATCACATGCCAGCTAGATAGAATTGGCGCATACTTTATTGCTCCCGAACAATTAAGAACAAATGTTGTAAACTACATATCAACACATCCTAGTTTTGAGGTAAACTAATTTACTTGTTAAATACATTCACTAATTATCAAACTCCTCCATGGACAGAAACATAAAGAATTAGTTGGACATGTTTTCAGGGGACAAATCAAAACCGTTGGCAACGTTAGTGGCGCATCAGCACAACTTAAATATATGATTTAAATCAGTTAAGAAGCTATTAACACACAAATACCATCAAAAATACTTCCGACAGAATATTAATTTGGAATTGACGTAACTGCCCGTAATACCTGTGATTAATGCAATTTAATATTTAAAGATTTACAAACTGATAAAAGAATAAGCATCAGTTAAGACTTTCATATCAACCAGAATGCTTTTTTCTGCAGATGTTTAAATAAATCATTTACAGTTAATATAGTACAATGCTAAATAATAGGTATTGACAAAAAACAATAAAATAAATAAAAAATGTATGTTATGATCATGATGATTTTTGATAAAATGTAGTTATAAAAGTATTTGTTTTGTATTAATCAATTTCAATGTACAGTAGTTAATAAAGACTTATGTAAGTAGCTTTCTTTCAATCAATAGGGCAGTCAAGGCATTGTGTTATTAGAAAACTTCGTTGAAGACAATTTTCCGGACTACTGTGACAGGATGTTACAGAATGGAGAGTACGCAGACCATGTTGTGGTCATTGGAATGTCCAGAATGCTACAGAGAGACATAGTTATTGTCACCAGTGCTCCCAGTACCAATAATGAGGATAGTGTCCTTTGGGTAACTGGTTGTGATGGTTTTTCCGGTAATCCTATTCTTCTTGGGCACATTTTCGAAAACCACTACCAGTCACTCCAGCCAAAAGGTAACTGATAATAGAAATTATATAATTTATGATTATCTCTCATAAAGAGATACCTTTACAGTTATAGTTTAAAGTAACGCATATGTAAATCTATGTTAAAAAAATAATGTCTACGGTTGATAGTTGGGAAATATCTTATAACACGAGATATAGTTGTGGAATCTGTTAATCTAATGATTCCAATAAAATTTGATAATTTGTTTAGATTATTTACAAAAAGTCATGCTCTTCTTGTCTGACTTCATCGGGCATGATCACCTATTCCAATGACGTCATTATATAAAATGCAGAGGAAAGCAAAATATTTGTCGTCATTATTATATTTCGACTAAGGAAGGACTTCGATCAAATGACCCACGTTTGGTAAAATGTTGATCAATATTGTGCTCAGAAAGGGATAAATACCATAGAATCAGTAAAATGTCCATATTTATATATTTGATATTTTATCAAATTGTTTTTTCTTCGTCTGTAAGCACGCTAATGGCAATCCTACGTTTTTAATGCGTAATCGAGACATCTTTAAACTACTGCAAATCATCCAAAATGACTTTCTTAAAGGAGCAACCACTTTACTTCAAAAAAAAGGGAGAGGGGTTCTGAGTTCTTATTTAACATGTTTAACACTATAATGTATGGGAAAACGTTTGATTCAGAATATTTGTTCATTCTATAATTGTCTGAATGTCTCCATTTTTACAAGATTTACAAACTGATAAAAGAATAAGCATCAGTTAAGACTTTCATATCAACCAGAATGCTTTTTTCTGCAGATGTTTAAATAAATCATTTACAGTTAATATAGTACAATGCTAAATAATAGGTATTGACAAAAAACAATAAAATAAATAAAAAATGTATGTTATGATCATGATGATTTTTGATAAAATGTAGTTATAAAAGTATTTGTTTTGTATTAATCAATTTCAATGTACAGTAGTTAATAAAGACTTATGTAAGTAGCTTTCTTTCAATCAATAGGGCAGTCAAGGCATTGTGTTATTAGAAAACTTCGTTGAAGACAATTTTCCGGACTACTGTGACAGGATGTTACAGAATGGAGAGTACGCAGACCATGTTGTGGTCATTGGAATGTCCAGAATGCTACAGAGAGACATAGTTATTGTCACCAGTGCTCCCAGTACCAATAATGAGGATAGTGTCCTTTGGGTAACTGGTTGTGATGGTTTTTCCGGTAATCCTATTCTTCTTGGGCACATTTTCGAAAACCACTACCAGTCACTCCAGCCAAAAGGTAACTGATAATAGAAATTATATAATTTATGATTATCTCTCATAAAGAGATACCTTTACAGTTATAGTTTAAAGTAACGCATATGTAAATCTATGTTAAAAAAATAATGTCTACGGTTGATAGTTGGGAAATATCTTATAACACGAGATATAGTTGTGGAATCTGTTAATCTAATGATTCCAATAAAATTTGATAATTTGTTTAGATTATTTACAAAAAGTCATGCTCTTCTTGTCTGACTTCATCGGGCATGATCACCTATTCCAATGACGTCATTATATAAAATTCAGAGGAAAGCAAAATATTTGTCGTCATTATTATATTTCGACTAAGGAAGGACTTCGATCAAATGACCCACGTTTGGTAAAATGTTGATCAATATTGTGCTCAGAAAGGGATAAATACCATAGAATCAGTAAAATGTCCATATTTATATATTTGATATTTTATCAAATTGTTTTTTCTTCGTCTGTAAGCACGCTAATGGCAATCCTACGTTTTTAATGCGTAATCGAGACATCTTTAAACTACTGCAAATCATCCAAAATGACTTTCTTAAAGGAGCAACCACTTTACTTCAAAAAAAAGGGAGAGGGGTTCTGAGTTCTTATTTAACATGTTTAACACTATAATGTATGGGAAAACGTTTGATTCAGAATATTTGTTCATTCTATAATTGTCTGAATGTCTCAATTTTTTTTTAAAATCTAATTGTGGAAAAATCCACCCCCCCCCCCCCCCCTTTTTTAAAATCAAGTGGTCGTTTATTAACTGTAGAAAAGTTGTTCGAAAATTTGAATTCGGTTCTACGTAATGAACATTTAAATGACATATAGTTTACGAGTGTGAACAACTCTTATGTACATGTAACTAAACAAGGTGTATAGATGTGAACAAATTTAATGTGAAACTAGCGTACATTACATTAAACCAAATGTTAACATGTTTACTGTACACGACGTTTGGTGTGAACACGGCCTTAGTGAATTATTTATTTTGTGAATTTTTTTTATATCTACTTCTACTTAGAGTCTTAGGGTGAATATATCCTTCTAGTCTGTGATTCGAACATTTAAAAAAAACGTGTCATCACAAATGACAAATCATGCAAAATGGATGAAACAATTATTTTGCTTTGAATGACTTAATTAAACTTAATATGCTTAAGTTTGTGTTATTCATTGTATTCAATTGCTCGGTATGTTAATTTTACTTACAGATAATACAGACGGTGACAGGCTCTATGGTGTATTGCTAAATAGAAAGATGAATTGTCTATTTTAAGCTTTCTATTTTTAGACATGTGTTAGAACTACAATATTACTACACACAAGAGCACTATTTATAGGGTGACCAGTGGGCACCGTTCAGCGTAACTATTATCCTTGTGCTTCAATTCCCAGAAGGTCCTAACCCCCAAAAAATGTACGGTGGAAACGTAAAAAAAAAATAATACCAACTTTGAACCCTTTCAATCCCCAGAAGGTCCTAACCCCCAAAAAATCATTTCAGTGGGTCCTGCTCTGATTCATTACCTTTCATTTGAGCTATGTCCGGTGTCGAACTTTGCCGTACGGAGCTGGCGAGACTTGCCGAAAGAATGTACGGTGGAAACGTAAAAAAAAAAATAATACCAACTTTGAACCCTTTCAATCCCAAGAAAGTCCTAACCCCCAAAAAATCATTTCAGTGGGTCCTGCTCTGATTCATTACCTTTCATTTGAGCTATGTCCGGTGTCAAACTTTGCCGTACGGAGCTGGCGAGACTTGCCGAAAGAATGTACGGTGGAAACGTAAAAAAAAAATAATACCAACTTTGAACCCCTTCAATTCCCAGAAGGTCCTAACCCCCAAAAAATCATTTCAGTAGGTCCTGCTCTGATTCATTACCTTTCATTTGAGCTATGTCCGTTTTCGAACTTTGCCGTACGGAGCTGGCGAGACTTGCCGAAAGAATGTACGGTGGAAACGTAAAAAAAAAAATAATACCAACTTTGAACCCTTTCAATTCCCAGAAGGTCCTTACCCCCAAAAAATCATTTCAGTAGGTCCTGCTCTGATTCATTACCTTTCATTTGAGCTATGTCCGGTGTCGAACTTTGCCGTACGGAGCTGGCGAGACTTGCCGAAAGAATGTACGATGGAAACGTAAAAAAAAAATAATACCAACTTTGAACCCCTTCAATTCCCAGAAGGTCCTAACCCCCAAAAAATCATTTCAGTGGGTCCTGCTCTGATTCATTACCTTTCATTTAAGCTATGTCCGGTGTCGAACTTTGCCGTACGGAGCTGGCGAGACTTGCCGAAAGAATGTACGGTGGAAACGTAAAAAAAAAAATAATACCAACTTTGAACCCTTTCAATCCCCAGAAGGTCCTAACCCCCAAAAAATCATTTCAGTGGGTTCTGCTCTAATTCATTACCTTTCATTTGAGCTATGTCCGGTGTCGAACTTTGCCGTACGGAGCTGAAGAAACTTGCCGAAAGAATGTACGGTGGAAACGTAAAAAATAAAATAATACCAACTTTGAACCCTTTCAATCCCAAGAAAGTCCTAACCCCCAAAAAATCATTTCAGTAGGTCCTGCTCTGATTCATTACCTTTCATTTGAGCTATGTCCGGTGTCAAACTTTGCCGTACGGAGCTGGCGAGACTTGCCGAAAGAATGTACGGTGGAAACGTAAAAAAAAAATAATACCAACTTTGAACCCCTTCAATTCCCAGAAGGTCCTAACCCCCAAAAAATCATTTCAGTGGGTCCTGCTCTGATTCATTACCTTTCATTTGAGCTATGTCCGGTGTCGAACTTTGCCGTATGGAGCTGGCGAGACTTGCCGAAAGAATGTACGGTGGAAACGTAAAAAAAAAATAATACCAACTTTGAATCCCTTCAATTCCCAGAACGTCCTAACCCCCAAAAAATCATTTCAGTAAGTCCTGCTCTGATTCATTACCTTTCATTTGAGCTATGTCCGGTGTCGAACTTTGCCGTACGGAGCTGGCGAGACTTGCCGAAAGAATGTACGGTGGAAACGTAAAAAAAAAATAATACCAACTTTGAATCCCTTCAATTCCCAGAAGGTCCTAACCCCCAAAAAATCATTTCAGTGGGTCCTGCTCTAATTCATTACCTTTCATTTGAGCTATGTCCGGTTACGAACTTTGCCGTACGGAGCTGGCGAGACTTGCCGAAAGAATGTACGGTGGAAACGTAAAAAAAAAATAATACCAACTTTGAACCCTTTCAATCCCCAGAAGGTCCTAACCCCCGAAAAATCATTTCAGTGGGTTCTGCTCTGATTCATTACCTTTCATTTGAGCTATGTCCGGTGTCGAACTTTGCCGTATGGAGCTGGCGAGACTTGCCGAAAGAATGTACGGTGGAAACGTAAAAAAAAAATAATACCAACTTTGAATCCCTTCAATTCCCAGAAGGTCCTAACCCCCAAAAAATCATTTCAGTAAGTCCTGCTCTGATTCATTACCTTTCATTTGAGCTATGTCCGTTGTCGAACTTTGCCGTACGGAGCTGGCGAGACTTGCCGAAAGAATGTACGGTGGAAACGTAAAAAAAAAATAATACCAACTTTGAATCCCTTCAATTCCCAGAAGGTCCTAACCCCCAAAAAATCATTTCAGTGGGTCCTGCTCTGATTCATTACCTTTCATTTGAGCTATGTCCGGTGTCGAATTTTGCCGTACGGAGCTGGCGAGACGTGCCGAAAGAATGTACGGTGGAAACGTAAAAAAAAAAATAATACCAACTTTGAACCCTTTCAATCCCCAGAAGGTCCTAACCCCAAAAAATCATTTCAGTGGGTCCTGCTCTAATTCATTATCTTTCATTTGAGCTATGTCCGGTGTCGAACTTTGCCGTACGGAGCTGGCGAGACTTGCCGAAAGAATGTACGGTGGAAACGTAAAAAAAAAAATAATACCAACTTTGAACCCTTTCAATCCCCAGAAAGTCCTAACCCCCAAAAAATCATTTCAGTAGGTCCTGCTCTGATTCATTACCTTTCATTTGAGCTATGTCCGGTGTCGAACTTTGCCGTACGGAGCTGGCGAGACTTGCCGAAAGAATGTACGGTGGAAACGTAAAAAAAAAATAATACCAACTTTGAACCCTTTCAATCCCCAGAAAGTCCTAACCCCCAAAAAATCATTTCAGTAGGTCCTGCTCTGATTCATTACCTTTCATTTGAGCTATGTCCGGTGTCGAACTTTGCCGTACGGAGCTGGCGAGACTTGCCGAAAGAATGTACGGTGGAAACGTAAAAAAAAAAATAATACCAACTTTGAACCCTTTCAATTCCCAGAAGGTCCTAACCCCCAAAAAATCATTTCAGTAGGTCCTGCTCTGATTCATTACCTTTCATTTGAGCTATGTCCGGTGTCGAACTTTGCCGTACGGAGCTGGCGAGACTTGCCGAAAGAATGTACGGTGGAAACGTAAAAAAAAAATAATACCAACTTTGAATCCCTTCAATTCCCAGAAGGTCCTAACCCCCAAAAAATCATTTCAGTGGGTCCTGCTCTGATTCATTACCTTTCATTTGAGCTATGTCCGGTGTCGAACTTTGCCGTACGGAGCTGGCGAGACTTGCCGAAAGAATGTACGGTGGAAACGTAAAAAAAAAATGATACCAACTTTGAATCCCTTCAATTCCCAGAAGGTCCTAACCCCCAAAAAATCATTTCAGTGGGTCCTGCTCTGATTCATTACCTTTCATTTGAGCTATGTCCGGTGTCGAACTTTGCCGTACGGAGCTGGCGAGACTTGCCGAAAGAATGTACGGTGGAAACGTAAAAAAAAAAATAATACCAACTTTGAACCCTTTCAATCCCCAGAAGGTCCTAACCCCCAAAAAATCATTTCAGTGGGTCATGCTCTAATTCATTACCTTTCATTTGAGCTATGTCCGGTGTCGAACTTTGCCGTACGGAGCTGGCGAGACTTGCCGAAAGAATGTACGGTGGAAACGTAAAAAAAAAAATAATACCAACTTTGAACCCTTTCAATTCCCAGAAGGTCCTAACCCCCAAAAAATCATTTCAGTAAGTCCTGCTCTGATTCATTACCTTTCATTTGAGCTATGTCCGGTGTCGAACTTTGCCGTACGGAGCTGGCGAGACTTGCCGAAAGAATGTACGGTGGAAACGTAAAAAAAAAATAATACCAACTTTGAACCCCTTCAATTCCAAGAAGGTCCTAACCCCCAAAAAATCATTTCAGTGGGTCCTGCTCTAATTCATTACCTTTCATTTGAGCTATGTCCGGTTACGAACTTTGCCGTACGGAGCTGGCGAGACTTGCCGAAAGAATGTACGGTGGAAACGTAAAAAAAAAATAATACCAACTTTGAACCCTTTCAATCCCCAGAAGGTCCTAACCCCCGAAAAATCATTTCAGTGGGTCCTGCTCTGATTCATTACCTTTCATTTGAGCTATGTCCGGTGTCGAACTTTGCCGTACGGAGCTGGCGAGACTTGCCGAAAGAATGTACGGTGGAAACGTAAAAAAAAAATAATACCAACTTTGAATCCCTTCAATTCCCAGAAGGTCCTAACCCCCAAAAAATCATTTCAGTGGGTCCTGCTCTGATTCATTACCTTTCATTTGAGCTATGTCCGGTGTCGAACTTTGCCGTACGGAGCTGGCGAGACTTGCCGAAAGAATGTACGGTGGAAACGTAAAAAAAAATAATACCAACTTTGAATCCCTTCAATTCCCAGAAGGTCCTAACCCCCAAAAAATCATTTCAGTGGGTCCTGCTCTGATTCATTACCTTTCATTTGAGCTATGTCCGGTGTCGAACTTTGCCGTACGGAGCTGGCGAGACTTGCCGAAAGAATGTACGGTGGAAACGTAAAAAAAAAAATAATACCAACTTTGAACCCTTTCAATCCCCAGAAGGTCCTAACCCCCAAAAAATCATTTCAGTGGGTCCTGCTCTAATTCATTACCTTTCATTTGAGCTATGTCCGGTGTCAAACTTTGCCGTACGGAGCTGGCGAGACTTGCCGAAAGAATGTACGGTGGAAACGTAAAAAAAAAAATAATACCAACTTTGAACCCTTTCAATCCCCAGAAAGTCCTAACCCCCAAAAAATCATTTCAGTGGGTCCTGCTCTGATTCATTACCTTTCATTTGAGCTATGTCCGGTGTCGAACTTTGCCGTACGGAGCTGGCGAGACTTGCCGAAAGAATGTACGGTGGAAACGTAAAAAAAAATAATACCAACTTTGAATCCCTTCAATTCCCAGAAGGTCCTAACCCCCAAAAAATCATTTCAGTGGGTCCTGCTCTGATTCATTACCTTTCATTTGAGCTATGTCCGGTGTCGAACTTTGCCGTACGGAGCTGGCGAGACTTGCCGAAAGAATGTACGGTGGAAACGTAAAAAAAAAAATAATACCAACTTTGAACCCTTTCAATCCCCAGAAGGTCCTAACCCCCAAAAAATCATTTCAGTGGGTCCTGCTCTAATTCATTACCTTTCATTTGAGCTATGTCCGGTGTCAAACTTTGCCGTACGGAGCTGGCGAGACTTGCCGAAAGAATGTACGGTGGAAACGTAAAAAAAAAAAATTACCAACTTTGAACCCTTTCAATCCCCAGAAAGTCCTAACCCCCAAAAAATCATTTCAGTAGGTCCTGCTCTAATTCATTACCTTTCATTTGAGCTATGTCCGGTGTCGAACTTTGCCGTACGGAGCTGGCGAGACTTGCCGAAAGAATGTACGGTGGAAACGTAAAAAAAAAAATAATACCAACTTTGAACCCTTTCAATTCCCAGAAGGTCCTAACCCCCAAAAAATCATTTCAGTGGGTCCTGCTCTGATTCATTACCTTTCATTTGAGCTATGTCCGGTGTTGAACTTTGCCGTACGGAGCTGGCGAGACTTGCCGAAAGAATGTACGGTGGAAACGTAAAAAAAAAATAATACCAACTTTGAATCCCTTCAATTCCCAGAAGGTCCTAACCCCCAAAAAATCATTTCAGTGGGTCCTGCTCTGATTCATTACCTTTCATTTGAGCTATGTCCGGTGTCGAACTTTGCCGTACGGAGCTGGCGAGACTTGCCGAAAGAATGTACGGTGGAAACGTAAAAAAAAAATAATACCAACTTTGAATCCCTTCAATTCCCAGAAGGTCCTAACCCCCAAAAAATCATTTCAGTGGGTCCTGCTCTGATTCATTACCTTTCATTTGAGCTATGTCCGGTGTCGAACTTTGCCGTACGGAGCTGGCGAGACTTGCCGAAAGAATGTACGGTGGAAACGTAAAAAAAAAAATAATACCAACTTTGAACCCTTTCAATCCCCAGAAGGTCCTAACCCCCAAAAAATCATTTCAGTGGGTCCTGCTCTAATTCATTACCTTTCATTTGAGCTATGTCCGGTGTCAAACTTTGCCGTACGGAGCTGGCGAGACTTGCCGAAAGAATGTACGGTGGAAACGTAAAAAAAAAAATAATACCAACTTTGAACCCTTTCAATCCCCAGAAAGTCCTAACCCCCAAAAAATCATTTCAGTAGGTCCTGCTCTGATTCATTACCTTTCATTTGAGCTATGTCCGGTGTCGAACTTTGCCGTACGGAGCTGGCGAGACTTGCCGAAAGAATGTACGGTGGAAACGTAAAAAAAAAAATAATACCAACTTTGAACCCTTTCAATCCCCAGAGAGTCCTAACCCCCAAAAAATCATTTCAGTAGGTCCTGCTCTAATTCATTACCTTTCATTTGAGCTATGTCCGGTTACGAACATTGCCGTACGGAGCTGGCGAGACTTGCCGAAAGAATGTACGGTGGAAACGTAAAAAAAAAATAATACCAACTTTGAACCCCTTCAATTCCCAGAAGGTCCTAACCCCCAAAAAATGATTTCAGTGGGTCCTGCTCTGATTCAGTACCTTTCATTTGAGCTGTGACCGGTGTCGAACTTTGCCGTACGGAGCTGGCGAGCCTTGCCGAAAGAATGTACGTTGGAAACGTAAAAAAAAAATAATACCAACTTTGAACCCCTTCAATTCCCAGAAGGTCCTAACCCCCAAAAAATCATTTCAGTGGGTCCTGCTCTGATTCCTTACCTTTCATTTGAGCTATGTCCGGTGTCGAATTTTGCCGTACGGAGCTGGCGAGACTTGCCGAAAGAATGTACGGTGGAAACGTAAAAAAAAAATAATACCAACTTTCAACCCTTTCAATTCCCAGAAGGTTTTAACCCCCAACAAATCATTTCAGTGGGTCCTGCTCTAATTCATTACCTTTCATTTGAGCTATGCCCGGTGTCGAACTTTGCCGTACGGAGCTGGCGAGACTTGCCGAAAGAATGTACGGTGGAAACGTAAAAAAAAAAATAATACCAACTTTGAACCCTTTCAATCCCCAGAAAGTCCTAACCCCCAAAAAATCATTTCAGTAGGTCCTGCTCTGATTCATTACCTTTCATTTGAGCTATGTCCGGTGTCGAACTTTGCCGTACGGAGCTGGCGAGACTTGCCGAAAGAATGTACGGTGGAAACGTAAAAAAAAAAATAATACCAACTTTGAACCTTTTCAATCCCCAGAAGGTCCTAACCCCCGAAAAATCATTTCAGTGGGTCCTGCTCTGATTCATTACCTTTCATTTGAGCTATGTCCGGTGTCGAACTTTGCCGTACGGAGCTGGCGAGACTTGCCGAAAGAATGTACGGTGGAAACGTAAAAAAAAAATAATACCAACTTTGAATCCCTTCAATTCCCAGAAGGTCCTAACCCCCAAAAAATCATTTCAGTGGGTCCTGCTCTGATTCATTACCTTTCATTTGAGCTATGTCCGGTGTCGAACTTTGCCGTACGGAGCTGGCGAGACTTGCCGAAAGAATGTACGGTGGAAACGTAAAAAAAAAATAATACCAACTTTGAATCCCTTCAATTCCCAGAAGGTCCTAACCCCCAAAAAATCATTTCAGTGGGTCCTGCTCTGATTCATTACCTTTCATTTGAGCTATGTCCGGTGTCGAACTTTGCCGTACGGAGCTGGCGAGACTTGCCGAAAGAATGTACGGTGGAAACGTAAAAAAAAAAATAATACCAACTTTGAACCCTTTCAATCCCCAGAAGGTCCTAACCCCCAAAAAATCATTACAGTGGGTCCTGCTCTAATTCATTACCTTTCATTTGAGCTATGTCCGGTGTCGAACTTTGCCGTACGGAGCTGGCGAGACTTGCCGAAAGAATGTACGGTGGAAACGTAAAAAAAAAAATAATACCAACTTTGAACCCTTTCAATCCCCAGAAAGTCCTAACCCCCAAAAAATCATTTCAGTAGGTCCTGCTCTGATTCTTTACCTTTCATTTGAGCTATGTCCGGTGTCGAACTTTGCCGTACGGAGCTGGCGAGACTTGCCGAAAGAATGTACGGTGGAAACGTAAAAAAAAAAATAATATCAACTTTGAACCCTTTCAATCCCCAGAAAGTCCTAACCCCCAAAAAATCATTTCAGTAGGTCCTGCTCTGATTCATTACCTTTCATTTGAGCTATGTCCGGTGTCGAACTTTGCCGTACGGAGCTGGCGAGACTTGCCGAAAGAATGTACGGTGGAAACGTAAAAAAAAAAATAATACCAACTTTGAACCCTTTCAAATCCCAGAAGGTCCTAACCCCCAAAAAATCATTTCAGTGGGTCCTGCTCTGATTCATTACCTTTCATTTGAGCTATGTCCGGTGTCGAACTTTGCCGTACGGAGCTGGCGAGACTTGCCGAAAGAATGTACGTTGGAAACGTAAAAAAAAAAAAATACCAACTTTGAACCCCTTCAATTCCCAGAAGGTCCTAACCCCCAAAAAATCATTTCAGTGGGTCCTGCTCTGATTCATTACCTTTCATTTGAGCTATGTCCGGTGTCGAACTTTGCCGTACGGAGCTGGCGAGACTTGCCGAAAGAATGTACGGTGGAAACGTAAAAAAAAAAATAATACCAACTTTGAACCCTTTCAATTCCCAGAAGGTTTTAACCCCCAAAAAATCATTTCAGTAGGTCCTGCTCTGATTCATTACCTTTCATTTGAGCTATATCCGGTGTCGAACTTTGCCGTACGGAGCTGGCGAGACTTGCCGAAAGAATGTACGGTGGAAACGTAAAAAAAAAATAATACAAACTTTGAACCCCTTCAATTCCCAGAAGGTCCTAACCCCCAAAAAATCATTTCAGTGGGTCCTGCTCTGATTTATTACCTTTCATTTGAGCTATGTCCGGTGTCGAACTTTCCCGTACGGAGCTGGCGAGACTTGCCGAAAGAATGTACGGTGGAAACGTAAAAAAAAAATAATACCAACTTTGAACCCTTTCAATCCCCAGAAGGTCCTAACCCCCAAAAAATCATTTCAGTGGGTCCTGCTCTGATTCATTACCTTTCATTTGAGCTATGTCCGGTGTCGAATTTTGCCGTACGGAGCTGGCGAGACTTGCCGAAAGAATGTACGGTGGAAACGTAAAAAAAAAAATAATACCAACTTTGAACCCTTTCAATCCCCAGAAAGTCCTAACCCCCAAAAAATCATTTCAATAGGTCCTGCTCTAATTCATTACCTTTCATTTGAGCTATGTCCGGTGTCGAACTTTGCCGTACGGAGCTGGCGAGACTTGTCGAAAGAATGTACGGTGGAAACGTTAAAAAAAAATAATACCAACTTTAAACCCTTTCAATCCCCAGAAAGTCCTAACCCCCAAAAAATCATTTCAGTAGGTCCTGCTCTGATTCATTACCTTTCATTTGAGCTATGTCCGGTGTCGAACTTTGCCGTACGGAGCTGGCGAGACTTGCCGAAAGAATGTACGGTGGAAACGTAAAAAAAAAAATAATACCAACTTTGAACCCCTTCAATTCCCAGAAGGTCCTAACCCCCAAAAAATCATTTCAGTGGGTCCTGCTCTGATTTATTACCTTTCATTTGAGTTATGTCCGGTGTCGAACTTTGCCGTACGGAGCTGGCGAGACTTGCCGAAAGAATGTACGGTGGAAACGTAAAAAAAAAATAATACCAACTTTGAACCCTTTCAATCCCCAGAAGGTCCTAACCCCCAAAAAATCATTTCAGTGGGTCCTGCTCTGATTCATTACCTTTCATTTGAGCTATGTCCGGTGTCGAACTTTGCCGTACGGAGCTGGCGAGACTTGCCGAAAGAATGTACGGTGGAAACGTAAAAAAAAAAATAATACCAACTTTGAACCCTTTCAATCCCCAGAAGGTCCTAACCCCCAAAAAATCATTTCAGTGGGTCCTGCTCTGATTCATTACCTTTCATTTGAGCTATGTCCGGTGTCGAACTTTGCCGTACGGAGCTGGCGAGACTTGCCGAAAGAATGTACGGTGGAAACGTAAAAAAAAAATAATACCAACTTTGAACCCTTTCAATCCCCAGAAAGTCCTAACCCCCAAAAAATCATTTCAATAGGTCCTGCTCTGATTCATTACCTTTCATTTGAGCTATGTCCGGTGTCGAACTTTGCCGTACGGAGCTGGCGAGACTTGTCGAAAGAATGTACGGTGGAAACGTAAAAAAAAAAATAATACCAACTTTGAACCCTTTCAATCACCAGAAGGTCCTAACCCCCAAAAAATCATTTCAGTGGGTCCTGCTCTAATTCATTACCTTTCATTTGAGCTATGTCCGGTGTCGAACTTTGCCGTACGGAGCTGGCGAGACTTGCCGAAAGAATGTACGGTGGAAACGTAAAAAAAAAAATAATACCAACTTTGAACCCTTTCAATCCCCAGAAAGTCCTAACCCCCAAAAAATCATTTCAGTAGGTCCTGCTCTGATTCATTAGCTTTCATTTGAGCTATGTCCGGTGTCGAACTTTGCCGTACGGAGCTGGCGAGACTTGCCGAAAGAATGTACGGTGGAAACGTTAAAAAAAAAATAATACCAACTTTGAACCCCTTCAATTCCCAGAAGGTCCTAAACCCAAAAAATCATTTCAGTGGGTCCTGCTCTGATTCATTACCTTTCATTTGAGCTATGTCCGGTGTCGAACTTTGCCGTACGGAGCTGGCGAGACTTGCCGAAAGAATGTACGGTGGAAACGTAAAAAAAAAAATAATACCAACTTTGAACCCTTTCAATTCCCAGAAGGTCCTAACCCCCAAAAAATCATTTCAGTAGGTCCTGCTCTGATTCATTACCTTTCATTTGAGCTATGTCCGGTGTCGAATTTTGCCGTACGGAGCTGGCGAGACTTGCCGAAAGAATGTACGGTGGAAACGTAAAAAAAAAATAATACCAACTTTGAACCCCTTCAATTCCCAGAAGGTCCTAACCCCCAAAAAATCATTTCAGTGGGTCCTGCTCTGATTCATTACCTTTCATTTGAGCTATGTCCGGTGTCGAACTTTGCCGTACGGAGCTGGCGAGACTTGCCGAAAGAATGTACGGTGGAAACGGAAAAAAAATAATAATACCAACTTTGAACCCTTTCAATCCCCAGAAAGTCCTAACCCCCAAAAAATCATTTCAGTAGGTCCTGCTCTGATTCATTACCTTTCATTTGAGCTATGTCCGGTGTCGAACTTTGCCGTACGGAGCTGGCGAGACTTGCCGAAAGAATGTACGGTGGAAACGTAAAAAAAAAATAATACCAACTTTGAACCCCTTCAATTCCCAGAAGGTCCTAACCCCCAAAAAATCATTTCAGTGGGTCCTGCTCTGATTCATTACCTTTCATTTGAGCTATGTCCGGTGTCGAACTTTGCCGTACGGAGCTGGCGAGACTTGCCGAAAGAATGTACGGTGAAAACGTAAAAAAAAAATAATACCAACTTTGAACCCTTTCAATCCCCAGAAAGTCCAAACCCCCAAAAAATCATTTCAGTAGGTCCTGCTCTGATTCATTACCTTTCATTTGAGCTATGTCCGGTGTCGAACTTTGCCGTACGGAGCTGGCGAGACTTGCCGAAAGAATGTACGGTGGAAACGTAAAAAAAAAATAATACCAACTTTGAACCCCTTCAATTCCCAGAAGGTCCTAACCCCCAAAAAATCATTTCAGTGGGTCCTGCTCTGATTCATTACCTTTTATTTGAGCTATGTCCGGTGTCGAACTTTGCCGTACGGAGCTGGCGAGACTTGCCGAAAGAATGTACGGTGGAAACGTAAAAAAAAAATAATACCAACTTTGAACCCCTTCAATTCCCAGAAGGTCCTAACCCCCAAAAAATCATTTCAGTGGGTCCTGCTCTGATTCATTACCTTTCATTTGAGCTATGTCCGGTGTCGAACTTTGCCGTACGGAGCTGGCGAGACTTGCCGAAAGAATGTACGTTGGAAACGTAAAAAAAAAATAATACCAACTTTGAACCCCTTCAATTCCCAGAAGGTCCTAACCCCCAAAAAATCATTTTAAGTGGGTCCTGCTCTGATTCATTACCTTTCATTTGAGCTATGTCCGGTGTCGAACTTTGCCGTACGGAGCTGGCGAGACTTGCCGAAAGAATGTACGGTGGAAACGTAAAAAAAAAAATAATACCAACTTTGAACCCTTTCAATTCCCAGAAGGTCCTAACCCCCAAAAAATCATTTCAGTAGGTCCTGCTCTGATTCATTACCTTTCATTTGAGCTATGTCCGGTGTCGAACTTTGCCGTACGGAGCTGGCGAGACTTGCCGAAAGAATGTACGGTGGAAACGTAAAAAAAAAATAATACCAACTTTGAACCCCTTCAATTCCCAGAAGGTCCTAACCCCCAAAAAATCATTTCAGTGGGTCCTGCTCTGATTTATTACCTTTCATTTGAGCTATGTCCGGTGTCGAACTTTGCCGTACGGAGCTGGCGAGACTTGCCGAAAGAATGTACGGTGGAAACGTAAAAAAAAAAATAATACCAACTTTGAACCCTTTCAATTCCCAGAAGGTCCTAACCCCCAAAAAATCATTTCAGTGGGTCCTGCTTTGATTCATTATCTTTAATTTGAGCTATGTCCGGTGTCAAACTTTGCCGTACGGAGCTGGCGAGACTTGCCGAAAGAATGTACGGTGGAAACGTAAAAAAAAAAATAATACCAACTTTGAACCCTTTCAATCCCCAGAAAGTCCTAACCCCCAAAAAATCATTTCAGTAGGTCCTGCTCTGATTCATTACCTTTCATTTGATCTATGTCCGGTGTCGAACTTTGCCGTACGGAGCTGGCGAGACTTGCCGAAAGAATGTACGGTGGAAACGTAAAAAAAAAATAATACCAACTTTGAACCCCTTCAATTCCCAGAAGGTCCTAACCCCCAAAAAATCATTTCAGTGGGTCCTGCTCTGATTAATTACCTTTCATTTGAGCTATGTCCGGTGTCGAACTTTGCCGTACGGAGCTGGCGAGACTTGCCGAAAGAATGTACGGTGGAAACGTAAAAAAAAAAATAATACCAACTTTGAACCCTTTCAATTCCCAGAAGGTCCTAACCCCCAAAAAATCATTTCAGTAGGTCCTGCTCTGATTCATTACCTTTCATTTGAGCTATGTCCGGTGTCGAACTTTGCCGTACGGAGCTGGCGAGACTTGCCGAAAGAATGTACGGTGGAAACGTAAAAAAAACAATAATACCAACTTTGAACCCCTTCAATTCCCAGAAGGTCCTAACCCCCAAAAAATCATTTCAGTGGGTCCTGCTCTGATTTATTACCTTTCATTTGAGCTATGTCCGGTGTCGAACTTTGCCGTACGGAGCTGGCGAGACTTGCCGAAAGAATGTACGGTGGAAACGTAAAAAAAAAAATAATACCAACTTTGAACCCTTTCAATCCCCAGAAGGGTCTAACCCCCAAAAAATCATTTCAGTGGGTCCTGCTTTGATTCCTTACCTTTCATTTGAGCTATGTCCGGTGTCGAACTTTGCCGTACGGAGCTGGCGAGACTTGCCGAAAGAATGTACGGTGGAAACGTAAAAAAAAAAATAATACCAACTTTGAACCCTTTCAATCCCCAGAAAGTCCTAACCCCCAAAAAATCATTTCAGTAGGTCCTGCTCTGATTCATTACCTTTCATTTGAGCTATGTCCGGTGTCGAACTTTGCCGTACGGAGCTGGCGAGACTTGCCGAAAGAATGTACGGTGGAAACGTAAAAAAAAAAATAATACCAACTTTGAACCCTTTCAATTCCCAGAAGGTCCTAACCCCCAAAAAATCATTTCAGTAGGTCCTGCTCTGATTCATTACCTTTCATTTGAGCTATGTCCGGTGTCGAACTTTGCCGTACGGAGCTGGCGAGACTTGCCGAAAGAATGTACGGTGGAAACGTAAAAAAAACAATAATACCAACTTTGAACCCCTTCAATTCCCAGAAGGTCCTAACCCCCAAAAAATCATTTCAGTGGGTCCTGCTCTGATTTATTACCTTTCATTTGAGCTATGTCCGGTGTCGAACTTTGCCGTACGTAGCTGGCGAGACTTGCCGAAAGAATGTACGGTGGAAACGTAAAAAAAAAAATAATACCAACTTTGAACCCTTTCAATCCCCAGAAGGTCCTAACCCCCAAAAAATCATTTCAGTGGGTCCTGCTTTGATTCATTACCTTTCATTTGAGCTATGTTCGGTGTCGAACTTTGCCGTACGGAGCTGGCGAGACTTGCAGAAAGAATGTACGGTGGAAACGTAAAAAAAAAAATAATACCAACTTTGAACCCTTTCAATCCCCAGAAAGTCCTAACCCCCAAAAAATCATTTCAGTAGGTCCTGCTCTGATTCATTACCTTTCATTTGAGCTATGTCCGGTGTCGAACTTTGCCGTACGGAGCTGGCGAGACTTGCCGAAAGAATGTACGGTGGAAACGTAAAAAAAAAATAATACCAACTTTGAACCCCTTCAATTCCCAGAAGGTCCTAACCCCCAAAAAATCATTTCAGTGGGTCCTGCTCTGATTCATTACCTTTCATTTGAGCTATGTCCGGTGTCGAACTTTGCCGTACGGAGCTGGCGAGACGTGCCGAAAGAATGTACGGTGGAAACGTAAAAAAAAAATAATACCAACTTTGAACCCTTTCAATTCCAAGAAAGTCCTAACCCCCAAAAAATCATTTCAGTAGGTCCTGCTCTGATTCATTACCTTTCATTTGAGCTATGTCCGGTGTCGAACTTTGCCGTACGAAGGTGGCGAGGCTTGCCGAAAGAAAACCAGTGGGCCCTGCTCTGACTTTTTTGGAATGGGTACTCGTTACCAAACATGTATTCAGATAAATTTAAAATAGGGTAGTTCTGAAATAACTTGAATCATGTATTAGTCTTTTAAATAATTCTAGTAATTCCAGGGACTCTTTAATCGGTATCATGTACGTCATTATTTTTTTTTCGTGAATTGTCCTTCATAAATTATCTGTTCTTATATTATGAAATGAGCAAATTTTGCCATATCGATGAATTTCGGTTGCACTACTGTAAATATAGATACTTACTATATCTGACGATATACCACTTTTAATTAGAAGTTTCATAAATTCAATGAAATAATATATAACCATGCATCTGAATCAATTTTCTGAATTTAACCCTTATCAGGAAAGCTAATATTTGACAGCCAAGGATATGTCGGATCCGAAACATTTGAAGAATTATAAAACAGTTTATTGTCTGGTAGGTCTCATTCCTTAAAAGTGGACGGGATTGTAGTTATGACATTTGGAACATATCTGCTATCATCTTTGAAACGGATAATTATTCTATTACGTTCTACCAACTCGTGATGGCATCAGTAAAATTAACGAATTGATGTTACTGATTCTCAAATAACATATGAATTTCACAAACCCGTTCTAAACATTGCAAAGTTCTATTAATTTTGGAATACCGTAAAATCGGTCCCTCTATACATAAAGGAGAGCTGATAAATGTTCTCATTTTGATCCTGCAATGGCAAAAAAATGTAAACTTATTCATGAGTTTCCCTACTATGTTAATATAATTGAAACCTGACAACTGAATGGGTTTTGTTTTGTGTGATACGTCTTGTTCGGTCTTTTGATTTCCATGTTGTTATGTTTTTAGAGACTGTGTGTTCATTGTTTGTTTGCATGATATTATCAGTTAGTTTTCGACTTTTGCTCTTTATGGACTGGTCCTTGTTTTATTCGTAAAAAAAAACAAGAAGAAACAAGATTATGTCATAATTTTCGTACCATATTCTTCCATAATAATGCTTAAATGCTTCGTAACAGATTCCACCATCTTCATCGTCGTCATAATTATTTTGAAACTATAATAGGAGAAAGTCATAAAACGGTTTTAAAACAACTCAGCTTACAAAGTTACAGAATTGCATTGAACAGACATTTATATTAAAAACATGGCATTTGTACAAATAACACAATATTCAAATATATTGAACTTGATTGATTCCAAATGATTTTATGAAAGTTTATTTCTTGTACAAATCGTCATCAACATCAAAATCAACCATTTTGTCTACAAAAGTTACGTCACATTATTATCATCAACATTATATCGGGTTCTCTATCCTCTATCAATAGCACCTTTATTATCACTATTAGTATGACCATAATCCTATAAGTATCATCATTACCATTACAAATAAAATCGTCCAATTCCTCTATGCCATCAAAATCATTATTATTATTGACCACTATTGATTAGCATCACAGATAAATTAACCATCACAAAGAATTGATAATCAGCAATACACACATTGTTTCATTGGTCATTATTAGGAATATTTTAACACCATTACACATTATATCATTACAAATAATGTCACAATCACAATAAACATATCATAAACAATATTCAATATAACTGTCTTTCACATGACACATTCACATTTATAATAATTAAAACCATCCAAAACGTTATAAAAATAAACCAAATAACCAAAATTGTCACCATCTTTTCATCTCCATTGTACTTCAAATGTTCATCATTTTCATTAACATCATTACATATCCTACTCCTTCTCATTTCATTCCTGCTCCTCTTTTACCTCCTCCTCCTCCTCCTCCTCCTCCTCCTCATCATCATCATCATCATCATCCTCATCCTCATCCTCATCATCATCATCATCATCATCATCATCATCATCATCATCATCATCATCATCATCATCATCACAGGCATTGTGAACAAAACATCGTTATAACAATCATCAGGACCAAATAAACACCTGCACAACCTTCATTATCGTGAACATCAGTATTGGCAATATAAACTAGATCATCATCGTATTCAGCTTCAACACTCAAGATAAGCAACCACTTTATCTAATAACATTACTATTGGCATTCAAAACTTTACTTCAAAACTTTTAACAAATATATACAACCATTATAATCATAAACATCACTATGACAATCATAATTTTACTTCACTATAATTGTGTTCAGCTCTGTTAACAAAAATATACAACCATTATTTTCATAAACATCACTATTGGCAATTAGAATTTTACTTCATCTTAATTGTGTTCAGTACTGTCAATACAATATATCTCAATTTTTATTAAAAACACAATTTTTGGCAACTAAAACGTTTACTTCTGGTAATTACTGTTAATTATACTTTACATCACCATAATCATGTTCAGCACTACCAAAAACGTTCCACCACAATCATAATCATATTTAGCACCATTAACCTCTCACCCTCATCATTTTTAACACCGTCAACGGAAACGTACCATCATCATAATAATAAAACTCACCATCGTCATGTTCAGCACCGTCACAATTGTCAAAAAATATATACTTCAACATACTAGTAATCATGTTCAGCACCATCAACAAAATTGTATCTTCATCGTCATCTTGACATTTTAAACCTTACTTCTTCATGATCATTCTCATGAACAGAAATGTACCACCATCATAATCAATTACATAGCTTTCGGCTATTTAAACTTTACTTCACCATCGTGATGTTCAGCACCGCTAACAAATACTGGCATTGGCTACTACAACTTTATTTCAAGTTTCAACATATTCAGCACCGTCAACAGAAACGTCCCACCATCGTAATCATTAACATGACTGCCGTCAGTTTAACCGTGACCTCACCGTCATCATATCCAGTACCATCACCGGAAACGTACCACCATCGTAATCATTAACATCCTGCCGTCAGTTAAACCATTACTTCACCATCACCATGTTCAACACCGTCAAAAGAAACGTATCACCATTATAATCTTTATTATCACTGTTGTCAATTAAAACTTAAGTTCACCATCTTCATGTATAGCAACATCACCAAAAATGTATCTCCATCTTTGTCATTAACATCACTATTGTCAAGTAAAACGTTACTTCACCATCATCATGTTCAGCTTCATCAACAAAAATGTAACTTCCATCTTTGTCATTAACATCACTTTTGTCAAGTAAAACCTTACTTCACCATCGTCACTATCACCACAATGAACAGAAACGTACCATCATCATAATCAATTGCATATCTTTCGTGAATTAAAACTTTTTTCGCCATCGTCATGCTTAGCCCCGAACAAATATGTGCTACCATTATAATCATTAACATCACAATTGGCTATTTAAATTTTATTTCATCATTATCATGTTCAGCACCGTTAACGAAAACGTACCACCATCATAATCATTAACATCGCTGTCATCAGTTAAACTGTTTCTTCACCATCACCACGTTCAGCACAATTAACGGATTCGTACCACCATCATAATCATTAACATCGCTGTCGTCAGTTAAAACGTTGCCTCAACATCATCATTTTCAGCACCGTCAACGAAAACGTATTACTATCATAATCATTAGAATCACTGTCATCAGTTAAAACGTAACATCACCATCTTCATGACAGCACCATCAACAGCAATATACTTCCATTTTCATCATTAACATCACTATTGTTAGCTGAAATTTTACTTCATCATAATCATGTTCAGCACCGTCAACAAAGTTTAAACACCATCTTTATCTTTAACATCTCTATTGTCAAGTAAAACTTTACTTCAACATAATCATGTTCAGCACCATCAACAAAAATGTATCCCCATCTTGATCATTGATATATATTTAGGCAATATAAACTTTACTGCACCATCATCATGCTAAGCACAATAACCAGAAACGTATCACCATTATAATCAATAACATATCTTTCGTCTATTTAACCCTACTTCAACATCAACATTCTCAGCACTACCATAAAAATGTACCATCATCATAAAGTATCTTCATCTTTATCATTATTAACACCATAGTATTCAAACATAATACAGTAAACAGTTGTTACAGGTATGCAGAAATTTCGTTCTAACCCTCTTACGGATTAAAGCAAAAGGATATCATGAAGTAACCTTTGAAATTTATCACTCTTCGCATTAATTCATCTTCAAATTCTTTCTTGCCTGTCTAAAACTTTGGATTTCTTCCTTTATGGCTTCACGACAGGAATACTCTGTCTTTGAGCAGATTTGTCTCATTTCAACAGTTGTGATGTTCTGGAACCGTCCAAGTATCTCTGCAATTACCTCCTTTCCCAAAACACATTCTACGTACCAGTTTGCGTACATAACATTTTGCTGCAGTTTAGTGTTCATCTGCTTTGCATCAGAGAAAATTGATTGCTGGTATGATAGTTTTAATGGACGTGTAACATGCATAAAGTAAGTATCAGATAAGTAAGTTTGGATTAAATAATAAACGTCCGGAGAGAGATATTCATCGGCAAAGCCTATCAAATCCTGTCGCTTCATATTGCATGGATTCTTTAAAAAGTTGTTATGCAAATCGTTACATACGTGTTTTCCCATAACAATATTGTAGACAACTGCATCCAAATCTTCAGTAAATATAATATTTTTTAGTCCAAATGAAAGATCAGTGTTTAAGTCATTTTTGTAAACTTTAATGAT